AACTCTATTTCTATGGAGCATACTTTGGTTTCAATTTTTCATTCACTCGGTAATGGTTTTGAGCAACCAAATATACCACGTGAATCACAACGCGGCATAAAACGCGTTACCACTTTGACCCGTTTAAATCGATGCACGGGGCCCACCTAAAAAATAGACTAAACTTGAGAAAAAATTCTGATTTTACGCAAAATAAATTTACTTTTTAACTAACTCTCATAGTTCTCTCTCTACAATATGTTTCAAATTTAATCTCTAGGGTTTCTATCTTTCTCCTCTTTTGTTTCTTCTCTAATGATTTTTCCATTGCTATTTTTTCTTTAGATTTGATTTTTTTTTTCTTGTTCATCATTGTGTTAATTGTTACCGTTCCTGCTGTTTTCATCATCAGCCTATCACCGAAGAAGTTTTTAGATCAAATTTGATTCATGATTAAGAGTCGATGTTAAATTCATCACAAATTTTTTTTTTAAAAAAAAGATCCAATGCGACTAAATACGTTTTTATACGCTAGATGATCACTTCATATCTAAAATGATTTATTTTGTAACGTAAGGGTTGGGATCATGATATCACAACTATTAGTTTTGACTATGAATAGATCGTAAAGGTGTTTGGTGGTGATTATTTTGATGTCGTTTTTTATATTTTTTATTTTTGTATTATAATATTATCTTTCTGTATTGAGTATTTCTTACTTCGTGGAAATTTTCTTCTCATTGAGTGAAGATTTATTTTTTCTTTACATGGAGTGGAGATTATCTTTATCTATCTTGAAATCTGTTTGGTATTCTAATATACTTCATTAACGAGGGAGATTTAAAAAGAAATTTGAAATAAAAAGGAAAAAAATAGATAAAATATATTTAAATTTCACATAATTTTATATATTTTTTGTCTTTTATTTTTCAAATTCCTTTTCAATTTTTTTAACCAAACAAAGCGGAAATAATTTATTGTGCAGTATCTACTTTTCAATTAAAAATTAGAAGTTGATCAAAAATAAAATAAAAATAACAATTAAAAACTAGAAGGAAAAAAAACGGTAAGCGTGTGCCAAACGCAAGTCATGGCGGTGGTGATCGCCGTGACTTTGACACGTGGTTGGGTGCAGACAGCATCGGGTCTACCTCACCAAAAAATTATCACTTTCGAAACTACTTTCATGATTCATTCTATCATTCTATGGGTTCCATTAACAGTTTTTATTTTATTTTATAGTTTATCTATTTTTTTTTAAAACAATATATCCTCTATTTTATTATGAAAATAAAACTGTTTGGTTTTGAATTATTGGAAACAGATTTTTGAGATTTTAATTTGTATTTTTGTAATTTTAAATTATAAATATTTTATTTTTTAAATAAATTTAAATTAGGTATATCTGAAAAATAAAAACAAAATTTTGAAAAAAAATCACTAAAAATATAAAAATACATATTAAAACTCCTAGCAGTTTTTTTAAAAATTTAAAACTAAACAGAATTGTTATCTAATGAATAGTAATTAATATATATTAATATGACATAAATATATATATATAATATGTATTAATTTTATGATTGTTGTTCCTTGCAGGACGTAACCACTTCGTTTGTTATTAATGTACTACCGTCACACTGGATCCATCCTCACCTTGTTTTTTTAATTAGAGGAACTAATAGGGGGGAGAAAATGAAAAAAATTAATCGCACATGGGATATAAGTGTGTTTGTAATAGGGTATAAATAGAAGTATGAAAATGACTCGTAACTTGAGATGGGCCCGACAAGTTTAGGTCCATTCCTAGGCCATCATTTCGAAGCTCGGTTCAGCCCGTGACCCAGTTCATTTAAGGCCCATTCAAGGCTCGACCTGAGGTGCGACCTGCCATCTCCCAGTGTCTTTTTTAATATAAAATAATAAAATTTTGACAACAAAAATTTAAAAAACAAAAAAAAATTGTCAGGCCTGTCCAAGCTCGAGGCCAGCTCAATTAGCCCCAACTAAGGCCCAAATACTCTTGGCCCTACTTTTTTTGTCCTGTGGCCCGGCCCGGCTTGAATTTTGGCAGGAGCCCGTGAGGCTTGACGTGGGCCGGCCAGGGCCAGGGCCTCCCTGTGGGTCGGGCCGGGTCGGGCTAAATTTACACCCCTAGGTGCAAATGAAAGGTTGTAGGATGTAAGTGTCACTTTCATGCCCATATGTTAGTTATTTTTTTCTTGTTTTCCCACTTGGATGTAATTCCTATTTTTAATTTAAGTCTAAATTAGAAGCGAACATCAATTTGTTAACCCGTCCGACTAAGCTTTATAATTTTAGGGTTTGAAAAAGTTGTTATAACTCATAGGGTCGGGATAAACTAATATTTTCAGCCCAATGTATTAATGGGGTTGGGTATAGAATTTGAAAAATGCTTTAAAGCTCGAAATTATTGAGTCTCGAGTGGCCTGAATTTAAAACGACGTCATTTTGAAATTTTTTTTCCTCTCTTTTATCTGCAAACAGAGGGAGGAATGAAAAGAAAAAGAGATAGAAGAGAGAAAAAAGAGAGAAGAGGAAGGGGGAGCCGATCTTCTCACGTTGTCGCGCATCGCCTCTTCCTCTTCCGTCATTGTTGTGACCACCATTATCGCCGTTACACCACCTCCGTCGCCGCTTTTTTTCTTCTCCTCTTCTCTTTTTCTATATATAAATGTGTGTGTGTGTTTCATGGATTTGTGGGTTTGATTTAGTTCATGGATTTGGCTTTTGATTTTTTAGATCTATATGTGTGTGTGTGTGTCCGCGCGCGCGCGTGTGTGTGTTTCATGAATTTGTGGGTTTGATTTGTATTTGTTTTGATTTTTAGATTTGAATCTCTCTACTCTCTTTCTCTTCTGTCCTCTCCTCTCCTCATCTCTTCTTTCTTCTTCTGCCAATCATGGAAATGAAGAAGAAAAGAAAAAGAAAAAAACCAAAACGACGTCGTTTTGGGATTTCGGACCACTCGAGCCTCTAATTTTTTAAGCTACCTAGCGGGACTGTTAGAATTTATATTTTCAACTTGGTTTAGTCAACTATTACAATTAATGAATTATACTATATTAAAATATATATTTTTTATTAGAATCTAAACTTTATTTTTATTGAAACTCATATTTATGATGATATTTGATTGAATTTATTAAAAAAATTCTTTAATTTATACACAGTTTTTTTATTTTTAATTTATAATGATATTAGTAAAATTATTTAAGAAAGATAATATGTGATTGAATTTAATTATAAAATATTTTAATTTTTTTAATATATAATTAGTGAATGTGAAAGTCATAATTATTTTTTGAACTGAATTTGAAAAAAAGTAAAAGCCGGACCGAACCAAACACAAAGTGAGTGTTTGAGAAGTGGGTTTTTATGTAGGTTTTTTTAGTTGTGGGATATTATTGGAGAAATTTTTTTTTGTGTTTGAAAAGATAGCTGAGTTTTTTTGTGGTTGGATGTGCTGTTTGTGAGAAAAAAAATTGAAATAATTATGGGGTTAGATGTGATATTTTGTTTGGATGTGTTTTTTTGATTTTGCAAAAAATTTGTCTTTTTGTGAAAAAAATAAAAAAAAAATCCAAGTCCCAAACTTCCCAAACACCACCAAAATTAGGGGTGAGCATGCTCCGGATTGGACCAGATTGAGGTAAAATCAGAACCAATCCGTTATCTACAGTTCCTAAAAAATTGGAACCAATTCAATCCGTTTAAATCATAGAACCAATCCGAACCAATCCATTTAAATACAGATTAGATCGGTTTAGGACCACGGATTCCATAATTAAATAACATATATATATATATATATATATGTATAACACTTTAATTTCATAAAAATATAAACATAGCACTATATTAATTCCACAATAACAACATGTTTTTCTATAATAGCGATATACTGTTCTGGAATTTAAACAACCATAAGAAAATTTGTTTCACCATAAGTATTTAGACTATTACAAATTAAACTAAAAACTAACAAACAAAAGTAATAGAAGAAGATATTATACGTTTTAGGTTTGAGTTTAGATTTCATATAGAATAAGAGAAGATACTATAGGGGAGGATATATAATAAAAATATAGACTATTTATATACGATCCGGATTGGTTCCAATCCGGAACTGTGGGGTTCAATCCGAAACCAATCCGTAGACTACGAATTTTTAATTCTTCAATCTGGAACCGAACCACAAATTTAAAAAATCAATCCAAACCTATCGAATTAGACTGGACTGAATCGGATTACGAATTTTACGAATTCCATACTCAGTCTTAACCAAAATGCCCTGGGTGTCGGCCCGGCCCGAACCCGGCCTCCCATCCCTAGGGCTGAGCAAGGAATTCGTGAAATCCGTAATTCGATCCAGTCCAGTCCAATCCGATAGGTTTGGATTGGTTTTTTGAATCCGCGGTTCGGTTCCGGATTGAAGAATTAAAAATCCGTAGTTCACGGATTGGTTCCGGATTGAATCCCACGGTTCCGAATTGGAGCCGATCCGGACCGTATACAAATAGTATATATTTTTATTATACATCCTCCCCCCATAGTATCTTTTCTTATTCTATGTAAAATCTAAACTCAAACCTAAAACCGTATAATATTTTCTTTTATTACTTTTGTTTGTTAGTTTTAAGTTTTAATTTGCAATGGTCTAAATACTTATGGTGAAACCAGTTTTCTTATAGTTGTTTAAATTTTAGAACAGTATATCGTTATTATTGAAAAATATGTTGCTATTATGGAACTAATATAGCACTATATTTATATTTTTATGAAATTCAAGTGTTATATATATATTTTTGTTATTTAATTATGTGAATATGTGGTCTTAAATCGATCCAATCCATATTTAAATGGATTGATTCGAATTACCTCCATAATTTAAACGGATTGAATTAATTTCAATTTTTCAAAAATCGTAAATAATGAATTGATCCCGATTTTACCTCGATCCGATCCGATCCAAAGCATGCTCACCCCTGTACTCTAAACCCCGCGGTTTCGTATTGGTATAATCCAGAGAGAAGGGAAGAGAAGAGAAGTCGGCCATCATCGAAGTTTGCAAGCGTTGCACAGTCGTCTGCCAGAGCTAGGGTTTCGTTTTAACGCCGTCGGTGGTCTTCGTTCTCTCCTTCGTCTAGGGTTATGGTAAATTTCAATATATGAACTCCCAATTTTCATTTCTCTGTTTCTTATACTGTTAATCCAGTTGTGTAATTCAATCTGTGTTGATCTTCACATGCCTATGTCCTCTTTGATCCGTATGAATTGGAAAATTTTAGACGATTGCAATGAGAAGATCATAGAAAAACCCCTATATTCTCTGCTTATCCATTAAGCTTTCCTATTATTTCCCTTTTCATTTTTCTGATGCTTTACTTTGTCTCGGCTTGAGTTTTCAGAATCTATTTTCGGAAAACATTTCAACCACTTACTAGTTTGGTGAAAAAACTTTTAAAATAAAGAACTTTTTGGTGTTTATTTATTTTTGTTAAACTAGTTTAACAACTTTTTTAAAAAATTCAAGAAACTGTTTTTGAAAACTCAACCAAACAGATTTTTCTGAGAAGTGCTCTTTGTTTGTAGTTCGTGGATTTGATTAATTTGCGAATTTGACCAGGTTCTGTGTCCAATTTGTCAATCCGCGCTCTAGAGCATGGTTCGCCTATCATTCCCGGCGGATTAGGTGACTTAGGTCCTCTTAAGCATATATGTTGTGGAGTTCTCTATGTTGAGTCACCAATTGTCTCAAAAGCTTAAGTTGTTAGGAAATGGGTCTACAATAAGTTATTCAACACCACTTCTTCATATGCAATCTTGTCTTGTATTTAGACAAACATCTATAAACAAAAGCAAAATGCAAAATATAGAGACTTGATCTTAAGATCTCCCCCAACTTGAGCTCCAATACCGTGTCAAGTCACCATTTGTCCCAAAATGGGTGATATCAAGTTATCCAAAACTTCAAATACAAGGGTCATGAAAAAAGTCCATATGACACTTATTAAACATTCGAGATGAATTTTGAATGTTTGCTGCTACTTATTAAATATTTTAATTTGATAATTCATCATATGGAATCATTTTGTCAAATTCTTTTGCAGGACACTACAGCGATGCAGAGTAGTGTATTGGCACTTACAGATCTGGCAGTGCTGCCCATTAGTGCAGTTTTAAATGCCATCAAGATGATCAAGAATGAAGGAGTGGAGCAGATTGATCCTCTAATCATCACTCAAGCTTCATTACTAAGTATGTTTCTCTAGCTCTACTATAAATTTAAGAATTCTCAATTATCTGTGCGGGTATGTATCTTTGTAAGTATGTCTTTTTCTTTTTTAGTTTAGTAGTATGAGATATTTTGGCAATCATTTAGCCATTTGAGTAGGCATGTGAGAAGAAGCTTGTTCTTTTTGTTTTTCTTTTGTTCTTTTTGTCATTTTCTTGAAATCACAAAAAAAAAAAAATAATAATAATAATAAATAAATAAAAAGAAGAAGAAGGAAAAAAAAAAAAAAAAAAAATTTAATAAATAAATAAAAAGAAGAAGAAGGCAAAATGAGTGAGAAAGATAAAGAACAAGACAGCTTTTGTATTTCACAAGTATTGTTTTTGTAAGTTGAAATGAAAATTTTGAAAGCAAAATATCCCAAAAACTAGTGCTATCATAGCATCAAGCATAACTATTGTTATCTCCAACCTTCAGCACCAAGAGCACCATCACTACTTTGACATTGCTGCCGCACCATACTTGTGAAAGTTTTCGGATCGCTATGCACATAACCACATATAGCAGCACTGGCAATAAGCCCACAGTTGTTGGCAACTTGGCATCATGACAAACACTAAACTATGTTCAAGGTGGCAAATGGGTCCATTATGATGTTCTAGGTTATGCCTGGTGGTTCAGTCCTTTAGTTTGCATGAGGCAAGTCTTGAGGGGTGGATAAAAAGACTTGATCAGTTATCCTTACCATGCATAGGACTTTATGCAATGCTACTTTAGAAGATGAGCTTGGTATGGATCATGCACGTTTTAAGTAGCTTTTTAGTCGTAGTGTTGACCTGTCCCAGTGAATCCTTTGCAAAAGTTTTTAATGTTGTAAATGCAGTTTAGCAGAAGACCAATGCCTAGTGCTACTTGTCAGGAAGAGGACCATTCTTTGTTGTTGGGTTCTTTGTGAGGCTCATCTCTAGTCAATTGAAAACTTACACGGTCATTAGTTTGTAGTTGGAGATGTGAGCTCCTTGGTGAGATCTAGTGTTGTTTACATGTTGCCCAATTTAATGTTGATGCATGGATGGTCATAGCATTATTTATGAGTTTCCTTCACGCAGTGCATTGATTGAATTTTAGAGGAAGTGAAAATATTACCGTGCTTTTGGGGTGGAAATAGTGGCCCTGGAGGCTCATAATTTGGTGCCATTTTATTTTTCATTCATCTCACAATTCAGGATGTGATCGTAGACTCCTAATACCCACCTCTGTGTTTAGACATAGATTTTTCTTCTCTTTGCGCATGTCATATTTCTGTAGAGTTCTCCCTCCTCTGAGCCCTTATTTCTATTTCCCATGTTTGCTAAGAACACAATTAACTTTTTGGAGACAACCAGTTAGTCTCTTGGAAATCCTTATATGGGTATCAAAACTCTTGCTTGTTTTAAGTTTGTTACTAACTGGTGTAAAGAAAATAGGAGTAGATTTTTAAAATTTTCAGTTTATATATCTAGTGTAAATCCATATCCTTTATTTATATCAGGATTTTGTCATTGATCTAGACCAACTTTTGGGTGGAAGAATAAAGGAAGATCTACTCCTTTTATTTTTTATTTTTTTATATGGACTTCCTAATATTGATTGTGACTAATGCAGGTCAGCTACCAGTGGATTTGTCGTCTGTGGATACCATCATATTTATCTGTAGGTCATTTGAATTTCCTGGTGATCAATTGTTTGGGGAAATATCAAGAGTGTTGAAGCCTGCTGGAATGGTCCTACTTCAACAGTATTCTGAATCTGCAAAAGGGCAAATGGTGACTTAACAGTTATGTTGTTTCTTTCTTGGTGGAATATCAAGTTGTGTGTGGCTTATTGCTGTTTTCTTGCAGATAACGTCTTCTCTTGAGCGCAAATTACTGGTGGCAGGGTTCCTAGATGTCCAGGTTTTTCCTGTGAAGTCAGTTTTACCATCCGAGGTTGTACAGTCTGTTGGGGTGAGTTTTTTTTTTTCTCTTTTTTTTCCCCCTTCTTTTTCTTTCTTTCTTGACACCAAAATCCCCCCACCCCTCTTGGTGAAGAGAAAATAATGGGCCCCGACTGTTTGAATGCTTGTCAACCAGAATTATCGATGAATTTCAATTCACCACCTGCACTTTCCATTCCCCGTCTATGTAGAGGATAGGATTAAATGAGGAGACCTTGTGAATGTTTATAACATGCACAAGGCTTGTAATTTTATTCTTCCCCTTTTTGCAGGAAAATATGAAATCATAATAACTTTAGCTTTAGGTTTAACTTTGATGAATTTGGAATTAACATCCCAAATCTTTTGGAATTATAAGGAATTTCAGAATCATATAAACTACACAACTGATGACATAGTTGTTGCTCCTAGACGTCTCTGTGAGACTCTGAAAGTGATGACTTAAATTGATTGTATGTTATCTTTGATGTCTCTCACAAAACATGGATTTGAATTTGTTTTCCTTTCTCAACAGATTAAAGCCAGGAAGCCTTCTTGGAAGATTGGTTCATCCTTTTCTCTCAAAAGCAAGCCCACAAAAAGCTTGCCCAAAGTCCAGATTGATGATGATATGGATCTGATTGATGAGGATAGCCTCCTGACTGAAGAGGATTTGAAGAAACCCCAGTTGCCACCTAGTAAGACAATGAGATTAAAGTTCTATTGTTTTGAATGTTGTCCTTCCATATTTCGATGAATTTTGTTCCATATAAGATTTTTGGGAACTTGTAATTCACACATTTAATTAACACATGTATGCAGTTGGTGATTGTGAAGTTGGAAGTACAAGGAAAGCCTGCAAAAATTGCAGTTGTGGAAGAGCTGAGGAAGAGGAGAAAGTGCAGAAGCTAGGACTGACTATGGACCAGCTGGACAATCCTCAATCAGCATGTGGCAGCGTATGTGCTGTGTTGATTTCTTTTCGTTTATAATACCGATTGCTGTTTTCTGATGGCATCTCTAGACTAGATTAGGTTTTATATACTTATGTTATAAAAAATAAATTTGTGAACTTTTAACTGCCATGACACAGTCGTGGAACTTCAATATTTATTTATTTTTCCTTCTATTTATTTGTTTTGTATTGAGTTCAATTTGCCCTTGCTCTCTGAAATTTTGATGTACGCATGCAGTGTGGACTAGGTGATGCTTTTCGATGTGGCACATGCCCTTACAGGGGTCTCCCTCCATTCAAACTTGGCGACAAGGTGATAGAAAGCAGTTTGAAAAGTTTTCTTTTTTTTCATTTTTTTTCCCTTGTTTTTTTGCTTTTTGTGTCTATATGGCAATGAGATGCCTAACTTGAACGAATTCGCAGGTTACTCTTTCTGGGAACTTTCTTGCAGCTGACTTTTAAGAGATTGAAACTGGACGTGTCCCTGGTGTGTTGGGGTTCGGACTCTACACGATTATCACTATCCGTGAATGAGTGTCTTCTTCACATGTTTGATGTAGTCTAGTCATATATTTCTGCTTCTGACTAAAAAACTTCTAAAATGATAAACAAGGCCATACCCTAGTTTGGTGTATACTGCCAACATGATTGTGTCGGTGAAAGTAAAAGTGCTTAGTTTGTAATGAACAAAATTTTGATTTAGATGGCAGATTACTTTGAGGAGAATAATTGATTTGCGTTTGTTCTGTATAAAAGTTGCAGTTGTTTGGCAATCTCTCATGTGGAGAAGTTACAATGGATACAGAAGAAAAATACATAGTTATGCTAATTTCAAATCTTTGGCTGCCCTTTGTTTGCTTGTGATAAATAAAGGGCAAATTTTATTTTACTCCCCTTATGATTTGGTTTGTTTATAATGATAACCACCCTATATTATTTTAAAATAACTATACGAGTTAATAGCAAGTATTGTGAAACGCCTGTTAAGACATAAGGGCTTGTTGTTAAATGCCAAGAGGTATATTGCATGCTCATTGTTAAATGTCAAGAGGAAAATTGCACAGGGAGTTGAAATAAATTCTCTCACAAAAAAATGTCAAAAATGTTAGTTATTTGCATAATGAAATTTTATATGTACAAGGGTATTTTAGTTTGTTTTTCGGCTTCAGTTGTTAACGGACTTTAGTTTGTTTTTTGGCTTCAATTGAACGGACTTAACGGTGCATTTTAATGCACAAGTTACATGGAATTGTGTTTTATTTTTGTACACGTAAATCAAACTACAAAGTGAAGTGAAATTTGTTCTTAGAAAAAAGTTTTCAATATATTAACAATACTTGAACCAAACCCGTATAGAAGTATAAGGTTGGCATACACAATTAAAAAGTTCATCAGGCTAAATGAAAATAAAGTCATAGGAGTTCAATTTTGTTTACACTCTTTGAATGTGTGAACAATACATACATTATACTTCATGGATATGAGATTTTAATTTTTGGACCAATTATGTTGTGTATTATTCAGATAAAAAATGTGTTTAAATTCATTTTCAAAGCATAAAAAGTGCAATTTTGCTATTGAAATGAGAGTTGTGCCTAGTCATGTTTCGACTTTGCTAAATAAAGCAGGAGGGGAATCCTAATTACCAATAACGACAAAATCAAATAGTAGAACAGGGTACGAGGAGCAAAAAATCATCATTGAAACTGATTGATGTAGTAGAACCCAATTTTGTTGGCATTGATGCAAAAGCATATATAAATTAACAAATTCCGAAAAACAGAACAAACTCTCTCTACAGAGCTTGGTGAGTCAAGCAGGTGTGTATATACTAATAGGCATAGAAACTAAATTTGTTGAGAAAGGAGAACAAGCAGACCTTGTGGACCTACTAATATTTCATTCATGAAACTAATCAATCCAAACCAGACCACAGGAGTTACATCTACTCCTCCAAGTGGTGGTATTGTTCCATATAAGATTTTTGGGAACTTGTAATTCACACATTTAATTAACTTTTCGACTGGAAGCTTTGGGTACCAGGACATGACTATTCTCAAAATGAATAGAAAGCCGAATCCTGATAGGAAGGGACCCAGAAAACCTATAGCAAGCTTTGCTGTGGCAGGGTCCAAATCTACAACCACCAACCTTTGCATAAACTCTGGACCCAGAAAACCTATAGCAAGCTTTGCTGTGGCAGGGTCCAAATCTACAACCACCAACCTTTGCATAAACTCTGACGCAGCGGCATGTGATGTGTCCACTATGGCGATGGTTGCATTTGATGCTGAGAGTTCAATAATGGGAGGGGCGGGGACGGTAGTAACTCCAATGCAACAACATATAGTACTCTGTTTTTTACTCCACAATCCCCGACTTGGGCGGCTTCTGGTGGGAAACTTGACTTTGTCCTGAAGCAAATACATGAAGAAGTGCATGGTAATTAATTTCGACAGAAAAACCTAAGTTTTACCATTCAATTATTCAAACAAAATGGACAAGGACCTTTTTTTTTAATAAAAAAGAAGAAGAAAGACAATGAAACATGAAAACACATGCCCCAAAAAATCTCATGTCATCTAAAACAAGACCCATTGTGGTAACATAGGAACATATTTGATATGCCATTCTGGCCGCTGCTCTAGAGTGAACTGGTATGGAAGCAGGAAATCTCGTAGTCAATTAACGGCAACTCGCACTTTTATCTTAAAATTAAAAGTTCGTGGTTACACCTGCAAAGAATAAAATCCCTCTCATCCTATTTCTGTGTCATTTTTAGAAATTACAAACACTAGCAAGGAAAGATCAGTCCTTACGAATATATTACAGAATACCAAGTAAAAGTCTGTCCTCTAGCACTTTCGAAATAAATGTTTTCAAAATCCATGTTTTTATGCAACTTATTTCCCTCAATATTAAAAATAGAACATCTAAAATATTGTTGTGAAATACATGAGAAAAGTGATGCAAGTTCTTCAAATTACAAAAAGCAATCATACAAAATACACAAAGCAAAGACGTTCCAAATGCCATGTGTGGGTAAACAAAATGGAACAGATACACAAGCCAGCAAAAAAATTGGATGATTTTCTCAGCATTTAACACCCTAGGAATTTTTATTACTCATGATTGAACTTCAGATTTGGAACTAGAGCAAACATATGAACCCTGGTTTAACTGCAACAGCCAGGTTTCAATGCCTTAGATTGGTGTGCAAATATAGAAATCAGTAGAAAAATCTATAGTTTGAAAGTTAACCATAACACTGTTTGTGATGGCTATTATCCATAGACATCCTCATGCAACAACACAAATGATTTTAGCCTGAAAATGTGTGTTAACGGCTAGGTCCTTAACAATCCACTTATTGACTGCTCTAGTGAAGTAAAATCAGCGGAGTATTTTGTACATACATAACTATCTTAAATCTATTAACTATTTCCATATTTTTTGGTCGCCTGGAAGGGACAGAAGAAAAATCTTCTTGTTGCTTCAACAATTTCTGATATCTAATGGACCTTTCAGTAGGATTCAAACCCAAATGAAGTTCTGACCATCTGTCAGAGAAAAAAGAACGAATGTATCTTGTAGATTCTTCAATTTCTTCTATAATATATCGGGATAAGTGCAAGAAGTGAAAACTATACTAGAAAAGGACAAGCACTAAGAATCAGCCCCCATGTACTATTAAACCAATCCAAGAAACTATCTGCCAATTGAGGAAGTTACTATACAATTATATGATAGTATGTCAACACTTAAAATTTTGCAATAAATTATCAAACATACATCTCAAGGTCAAGATTATTTAAAAGGATGTTCTTTGGAGTATGTACATCAAAAGTGCAAACTAAAAGGATTACTTTGTGAAAGAATTTTAAAGCCTATAAAAAGTAGAATTTGTGCCTAGTGAAATTATCGGGTAATTGGAGATCAATATACTTCTAAAGTCGAATTAGGATCTATGATAGTCCAAATCGCATAAGACAAGTGGCAAGAGAGATTTCAAATAATCGCACAGGAGATGGAAGAACTTCAACTCAAAAATTCGCACTTATAATTGTTTGCTTGGTGTCAGTAACGTTATCCTTGGATCTAGGATTTGTTGAGCAAAAGGAAAGGAAAAGGAAGAAGTTAAGAAAGAAAAAGTTTCCACTTCAAACAATTTTTCCTTTTTCTTTTCCCTCCGTAAATCACTCCACAAATCCAAGATCCACAAACAACCTAGAAAAGAATGCAAAAGAAAAACTACTTTCCTCCGTGTTTTCCCTCCTACCAAACCAAACTAAGCCTTGTGTCTCAATCAAGTGGGGTTAGGTATATGAATCTTTTTTCGTCATTTAGCTCTACTATTAGCTCAGTTAAATTAAATAAATTCATTTTTTTCACGGCATTCCATGTCAACTTAGGAATTCCCCTCCCCTAGAATCTCCTTTTATGGTAATCCTATCACTTGTTCTTACCATTGCATCAGTAAGCCTTCGTTGTACATAATCAAACCATTTTTAACATGTTCTCTCTCAACTTATTTTCAATACGTGCTAGTCTTACCACAAATATATTCATTTCTAATTATATCCTTTTCTACTCTTACCACACAACCATATTTGTGTTTTCGCTCCTACTTTAAAAAAATAAATAAATAAATGAAAAAAAAAATTAGAAAAATGATATATAAGCCCACTGTTTAGACCCATTTTATAAATGCAATGATGTGCAAGTAATATAATTGGTTGATGATCAAAGAAAATATGAGAGCGAGTATTATCTTTAATATCTAATTGATTGCCACGGGCTTGAAAATTGGGTCTAATTTTTGGTCTATGCTAAAAAATTTAACATAGTTTCTTTTTCTCATTGTTTTCCAAGCTATATACACACACACAAAAACACACCAACAATAGCATCTCATACATTTTCTTTTCCTTTTCGGTGACCAAATCCATGAACCAAAAGGAGGATGAGGTAAATGACCAGTGATTGTAAGAATAGACAACCTGCACTTTCTAATAGACTGCCACCCCCCACATTATAGAAATCACTTAAAAATATAGGGAAAAAATATACAATAATACACACACAAATGTGATTTTTTTGGGCATTTTCCGGTGGGGAAAAAAAACAAAAAGGAATTGGAAAAGGGTAAAAGCTAATAAGAGTCTAAAATGAAGCATACCAAAGAGAAGTGGAATCTACTCGGAGGAAGGTTTCTGAAGCTGAAGGTGTTGCACCGCAATTTAACATCTTTGAAGTCACTAATACTCTTTGAAGGAATTGGGTTGATGATGTTCCTTGATGACATTAAGAGCCCAGAATTCTCCATCTCTCTCTCTCTCTCTGATGCGCGCGCGCACACACAGACTCACAGTACCCACTAGAATTTGGTCTGTTGAATGAAAGAAAACCTTATCTTTACTTCTACTGCCAGGGGGCACAACAGACTTTTGCCACAGCTAGATACTCTCCCATTCTTACTTTCTTTCTTTTATTTACTATTTTATTTTATTTATTTATCAGAGTAAAAATTTAGTTAAAAGCTTTTAAAAAATTTCGATCGTATGCAATTTTATGATAAAATTATGTAAAATTTATGAATTTACATAAGTCATCTAAAATAAGTGTGTAAGAGTATCTCTAACGGTACATTATTTTTTTCACCAAATTGAGTAAAAAATAGTTGATTTTCTCAATCTGATATGGTTTGCTCCAACGGTGCATCAGAAGGGAAGGGTCATCCGGTGGGTCGACCGGCCAATTGACCAGTAAGGCATTTTTTAAAACATGTTTGAACCTTTTTTACGTTGTTTGAACCTACCTATTTGAAAAGGAACCGGTCGACCGGTAGGTCAATCGGCCGGACATCCGGCTGGTTAACCAGTTGCCCCCGTCCAACGGTATAGAATAGTGAAAAGATCAAATCTGGAGCTTGTCCTCAGTTTGATGAAACTTTTGTTCCATTCTCATTTTAATATCAATTTGGTGAAACTATTGGAGTGAGAAAAAGTGATTTTTTCATCAAATTTTAAATCTAATGTAAGGTTTGATGCACCGTTGGAGATGACCTAAGTTAAATATAAATTTGTGTAAATCTATTTATAAAATATAAATTTATACAAATTTATATTCAACTTACATATTTTTATGAAATCACTTATATAAATTCATAAAAATATATGTACGTTTTGCGATAAAGTTACAAACGGAAGCATTACCCATTAGCTTTGTCACATTTTAATCCATGGGCTCTGCTGGGACCCCCAGTGCCACATGGGGAGTTGTCATTGGTTGGAAAAAAAAAAAAAAGTTTTTTGGGCCAATGAGAAGAGACCCCAGCACCCCCACTGGGGTCTCATGCATTTTCCTTAATCCATAGGCTTGATTGTTTGCTAGATTAGTTAAATGGAATTATTAGTAGAGCGTAATTGAATGAAAATATTGTAAAATTATTTCCATTTTAGACTCAAATCTTTCATTAAATTTAAATTTGATAAAAATTTGGTGAAAACGGCGTTCCAACCGTTTCACCAAATTGGTATCAAATGAAGGGAGTTTTCCTCTCTTTTTTTTATTAAATTAAGAGAACGCTTAACCTTTCATCAAATATTGTAGGTGATTGTTGGTAAACAACTGGCAGGACAACCGGGTAGACGACCAGATTGGAGAAATTTTGAAGAAAATTTATACTAGGCCAGACGACTGCCAGGACATCCTTCCAATCTTTCTCCCAGTCGACTGGTTGTTTGATGAAATTTAATAATTTAGCATTTGAACACTTGGTATTAGATGAAACTTGTAACCTAAATCTTTACTCAAATTTGATGAAAAGAAAAAAAAAAAAAACTTTGGATATGCTCTAAGTGTGGTGTTATTAGATTAAAAATGTAAAATAATTTATTTATTTATTTTTTTTTTTGCGTAGCAATATTGTGGTATTAATTGATTTGGATTAGGGAAATGGTGTGCACCCCTACAACCCGTAGGAATGCATATCATATAATTTTATCACAAAAATTTATAACATCAATTATAAAATGTATAATTTCATCATAAATTAACATAACAGAATATTCAAATTTTATGTTTCTTGACTTGGTTTCTTGTATTTTCCTTTGATAAAAATAAAAAATAAAAATATTACAAAAGTTTGTGGAATGGTTACAAGTTTGTTAGTTACGTTAATTTGTAATAATATTACGTATTTTGTGATTGATGTTAAAAAAATTTATGATAAAATTATTCCAATTTGTGATAGGGCACAAATGAAGGTGCACACCATAGGGCTTCCCTTTGGATTAAATTTATATAAAATTCTCACTATATAAAAAGTAATTTTATTATTTTTGTAAAGTGAGGGTATTTTCACCCCAATCCAAATTGTGAAACCAAACCAGAGAGAAGGGGAAAACAAAATGGGTATGATAAAGGGTAAATTATAAATATATTTTTGAAATTTATTCAAAATATAATTTACTCTGCACGTTTGATAAATTACATCTTTTTTCTTCAGATTTTCCAATCACATAATAAATAAATCAACCAATTAAGTCAAATTAACAAAGAGTGTGACATAATAACAATATTTTATTTATTTATAGAAATATATATTAATCTTTATGAATTTCAACACTTTATTTTTTTATTTATTTTTCTTATTTTACCTTCTTCATTTCTAATTTTCTTTGAATAAGTAATATTATTTTGTCCAACCATCGCACCACTCTCTCACCCTTTGATGAGCGCAACACATTACCATTATCGCCTGCAAACATTTGACATGTCACTAAAGAAAGTTATAGAATAAAAAATATTTAAGAGCACTAAAAATAGAATTCTATTTATGTGGCAGTGAGTTTCATTCATGAATGATTTGATATATGTATTTTTTTTTTTTTGCTCCATGTCACAATTTAGTGTCATTGTTAGAGTTCTAAATTTAAAGTTATGAATCATTGCTCTTAGAGAATATTGCAGTAGTGTAAAAAGAGAAATTAGTGATTGATGAATAAAAGTGAAGACAATATAATAATTTTATTTTGATATTAAAAAATATTTGAGTAATTTTATTATTTTTGTTAAGTCAGTTAGCAGAAAAATTATAATAAAGGGATATTAGTCAGTTAGCAGAAAAATTATAATAAAGGGATATTAATAATTTTTTAAATAATTCTTGACCGTATATATTTATAATTTATTTTTATTGATTTAGATTAATAATTTATTTACTAAGTTTGTCTAATCCGAATTTCTTCAAATAATATATTTTTTAAAGAGTCTTCCGTGACGTAAAAAAATTACATTCAAACGAATTCAGACTGAACAAATTGAATGGAAGTAGCAAGGCGGATTTATTTATTTGCAGCATAGGAACTTACTTTTTATTATTTATTTATTGGGTATATTATATAGAAGTTACTTGTGATAGAACAGGAGAGAAGTATGTAAAAATGGAGATCAAACAGGCATCAGAACTTGGGAGGGGGTCAACGCTACGTATGGATGTCTCCGATTCTAACCCCCCCTTTCTCTCTCTCTTAAGCTTTTTGAAAACCATGACGACCTAATCGATGAGAGCTTCGGAATCATGCATATTTTGTATTTCTTATTGGTTGTTGAATTTTTGATATTTTCTCAAGTCAAATTGATGTTTTGTTGCATATATCAATGCTTGATTGTTCATGTACCCAAAATTTGTTTTTTTGATTGTTCAAATTTAGTAGGGTTTTGTATTACCCTGCTATTTACAGGTTATTGGATGAGTTATTTATATATATTTTTATTTAGTATTTGTTTTGGTGCAATGCAAGTTATTGGATGATGATAGTTGTTTTTTTGATTGTTCAAATTTAGTAGGGTTTTGTATTACCCTGCTATTTACAGGTTATTGGATGATTTATTTATGTATTCTTATTTAGTATTTGTTTTGGTGAGTATGCAAGTTATTGGATGATGATAGTCTTATTATTAGAAATGGAAAGTGGCTCCATGGATGTACTCACATTAAACTTTTTTTCAAGTTGTAAAAATTGAACTTTGGGTTTAAACTTTACTGTTCTGCATTAATCGATCTTTTTCAAGCCTAATGCTGCTGCATGATTAAACCATTGTTTCTTGAAGATCAGCAGTAAACATTTGCAGGTCAATTTTATAATTTCAAGTTTTGTTGTGTAATTCAGAAATATAGTTTTCTATGCTAGTCTCGAGTACTTGTCATCTTCATCAAGGGTCTATGGAAAAATAGGCTTTGTATAACCGACCTCAAATAATTGGGGCAAACCATCATCGAGTATTAGAGGAGAGGAAGTAGTGCGGTATAGAGGATAATGTAGGATGAGTGTGAGGTACATCCTCCTAAAGTGAGTGAACCTGAAATTAATATATGGAAATGGAAAGAGTTAATTTTTTCAATATTTTAATTGATTTATAGTGCCTATAGAGATTGATGTGGTGGGATATTTGGTTGTTAATGGTTGGTGCAGAGGTTGCCGGCAATGAATGTTCTTGTAGATAATAGTGGGGATTGGTAATTGTTTTCGAATGCTAATTTTTTCCCTTGCAAAGCCTCAGCTGAAAAGAGAGTGTGTGTAGATATTAGGTGTTGTGTAGTAGTGGTTCAAGTGAGAGGGAGGAGGAGGCAGTTGTGATGGTGAGAACTGTGGTAGTTGTCATGGTGGTTGAGGGAAAGGTAAGATAGTGTGGGTAAAATGGTCATTTTATACTAGTAACCAAGGTTATTAAGGTATTTTTTATGCTATGAAGTGCAATTTTGTCAATCAAATTGTTTATTTGATGATGTTAGTAAGATTCTATCAAAACCCTCAACAACCATTTTACTGATGGGGTACTTGTTACTTGACTATAAATCTCAGGGTATGGGATATAATTTTCACAAGCCAAAGGATTCAAATGTATGTGTAAAAATCTCAGGGAATGTAATTGCAATTTACCTAAAAGGCTATGAGTACACAATTTGGAAACTAAAAACTTTGATTTCTAAATTGTGTTTAAAACCAAATAAGACATAACTAAAAGTCTAGTTGTATAACTTGATCCACATGAAGTATGCATGATCCCTATAGCCCATATCCCGAAAATTATGAAATTACCGAAATGACATTAACTTATAAGATACTAGAAACGTATAAGAAACCATTTAAATTAATGACCTAAATTATTTTTAAATAAGAGAGTCTATTATAGCTAAAACTTGACTACGCATAATTCCAATAGCCCCACCCAATGAAATCACGCCAATTGCTAAAGTTTGTCTTCTCTTTGATTGTGCTTTTCCTTGAGCCTTGTATGGACTACATCTGGCACTCAACTAGGGAGGTTTGGGGTTAAATTGTACTATAAGATGTTGGTGGGATCTTCTCAGTAGCTAGTAGCTTTCTTTAGAAAGGATTTGAGGTGCAAAGGTTCCTAGTAAGATGGGATTTTTTTTGCATAGGTAGAGGCTATGCCCTAGGGAGATCCTTACACTTTTCTAGGCAAGGGGACATGTTTCTATGTGTGGAGGGTAAAAAAAGTTTCCAAATGAGTGGCTGATTTGGTTCCTAATTGGAGAAGGGGTTGGGGGCAAAGGAGGCAAGGAAGTCTTGGAATGCTGTTACTTCATGTTTAATATGGTGCATTTGAAGGAAAGAAATGTTCCTGTGAGGATGTGGAGTCGACAATTCTTAAATTGTGATGCTTGATGTGATCGGTTTGGTTTGGTTGGGCTATAGGGAAGGTAAATCCCTTGGAATTTGTGGGGAATATGGATTGTTTTGTTTTTGTTTCTGTTTCTGTATAGGCTTTTATTGGCTAATCTTGGTATATGCTGTGACTCTGTGATACATGGGTTGCTCCCCCTTTGGTGCTTGTTGATGAAATACTTCCATTTATCAAGAAAAGGAAAATGGTTTCATGTTATTGGATCTGCTTGCTTATAACTTTGCTGTTTCACTTTGCAAGTGATCTCTGAAACCAAAAGCAGTGAGAATTATATTTGAGGTGCATGATGCATTCGGAGTTTTTTTTTTTTTTTGGGTGATAATTATTTTTTCATTTTGATTTTCTACCATTTCTCATTTCCTTTGGCTGCTTCCTTCTTCTTCTTCTTTTTTATTTTTATTTTTATTTTTATTTATTATTATTTTTTTTCATATGAAGGAGGGGTTTTGTGTAACATCTGTTCCCGAGGGGCATGAGACAACATGCTGGGGTTGTGGATCTCACCTTCTTCTCTCATCATATGCACCCATTTTCAAGAGAATTATATTTGTGGTGCATGATGCATTCGGAGATTTTTTTTTTGGGTGATATTATTTTTTCATTTTGATTTTGTACCATTTCTCATTTCCTTTGGCTGCTTCCTTCTTCTTCTTCTTTTTTATTTTTATTTTTATTTTTATTTATTATTATTTTTTTTCATATGAAGGAGGGGTTTTGTGTAACATCTGTTCCCGAGGGGCATGAGACAACATGCTGGGGTTGTGGATCTCACCTTCTTCTCTCATCATATGCACCCATTTTCAAGTGTGGCTGGTGTGGGGCTATAACTAACCAAAATGCATGGAAGCGTGAAAACAAGGGCTTTCGGTGGAGACGCTTGCGAGACCGGTGCTTTGTTTGTGTCCTCATTATATTTATGCTCTTTGTGATTTGTAAGTCATTGAGATTATAAAATTTGTTATTAGAAACTGTGTGTGTGTATAGATGTAGCATTAGTGTTTCTAATGACAATTTGTTGATTGGCATAAACGTGTTGGTTTAATATTTCCTTCTTCTTTTAGTTCAATGTTGAACCTTATATGTGGAATTTCTTTTGATTGATTCTTTCTTTTGTTTGTAGATAAAAAAAAAAATATTAAATTGCTTTTGTTTGTATATGAATTTCAAAAAAAAAAAAAAAAAAGAAGTTAATATCTTTTCTCCTTTGCATTGTCTTGTATTTTGAATGCTAATTTTTTCCCTTGCAAAGCCTCAGCTGAGTTTTGTATGTAACCAACATATATACTTTTGAGTGTCTGCAGGCTTAAAAACCTATTCCAATAGTTTGTTTTTCTGGTGTCACACCAGCTAGTCTGTCAGTGTGAGACTCTGACTGGTGCCAGGTTGCCCTCACCAGTATTTCTTTTGTCAAACCCAAACCTTTGGTGGAGGAATTTATAGAAGTTTTTGTTTATGTTATAATCATTAGAAAGAAGTTTCTAACCATGTGTTATTAGAGAATTTTGCCAAGACATTTAGACTGCTTTCTTGTTTACAAATTTATTATTATTATTCTTTTTTTAAATTGATACTTGTGTTATACATCTGGTAAACTATTTTTGTCATCGAGATCCAGAAGTCGATAGTTCACATTATGATCTCCATCTATTCAGGATACATCTCAGTATAGGCAAACTTCCTGCTGCTTTGCTGCATTTTTGTATTTCTTGAAGTTAACTACGTTTGTTTGGTGCATTTTCCTGAAATTGCAGGTGGTGGGGTATGGGCTGTTTACCCGGTTGTCTTTTCAATCAGTTATTACTGTGGGATTTTTCACTCCATCTTAACTGCAATATTGTCTGTAACTACAATTTCTACATTTAGCCTTGCGGCATTTAAATGTGCTGGAGCTCCACCAATCATACTGTGGGGTAGCTATAGAGTAGTGGAAAAAGGTGGCCTTGAGAACTATTCCTTCTGCCACTTTTGTTCAAAGCCAAAGTCTCCTAGGACTCATCACTGTCGTTCATGCGGAATGTGTATCGTGGACATGGATCATCATTGCCCATTTGTAAGTGTTATTGCTTTTTTATATTCTGCACAGACAAATCTATATTCTTTAGAATGATAAACACAAAATTCACTTGAAACATTTCATTGTCTATGCATACAGCTTCTAACTTGTAATAGAACTTTGAAATAACATAAGCTGGTCAGTTTAGAAATGAAGATGATACTTGTACATAGTCTATTCATAGTTGGTTTTGTGTGTGTGTGTGTGTGTGTGTGTGTAATATTGGGTAAAGTGTCAGCTTGTGATTTTCTTATCAACAAAAAAATTTATATTGAACACTCAAAAGAATTGGTATGAACTTCTGTGAATTAGTTTCATTTCCTGAATATCCAGAGTTCATATATTTATCGGATCAGCATGAAATTCTATCAGAAGTTATGGCAAAGACGGACAGACAAATGGTAGGGTAGGGTTTGCTCACAATGACGTCACGATGTCATTTTCCTAGCAGTGCTGATGTTAGCACATATCATGTGTCCTTAGCTTCCGCTCTGTGCAGTTATGTTCTTCCAATCAGAATACTTCATTGGCAACTTGTACTTTTTTTAATAATTTGTTATCTGTGTATATAGTATTAATACTTTTTTTTTTTTTTGAAAAAAAGAGAAATTATGAAAATGAAAAGAAAAAGAGAAGCAAAACGAGAGAGAATAGAGGTGTGAGAACTCTCTCTCTCTCTCTCATGACCTTATATATCATAAGAAGCTGATAAAATAAAGTTGCATATCACAATCGATACCGACTACCAGTAAGGTAGTATAACAAGTTGCATTGTGCTTTATCTTGCTGAGGAAGATAAGAAATGCTATATTTTGATTAGTGATTTCATTTGGTTGTAGAAAAATTGATATCTTAAGCTCATGCCTAAATAATGTGGTGGAGTTTTATAGATTCACTGTTGGATTTATTTTTATCGTCTGTGCAGATTGGGAACTGTGTTGGGGCAGCGAACCACCGGTGCTTCATTGCCTTCCTCCTCTCAGCAGTCATCAGTACAATCTACGTATCCATCATATCTGCATACACGGGATTTCATATCTGGCCACCATTGAAATACAGATCTTTTGACCTTTTGAGGGGATCTAGAACCAACTTGGCTTTCAGAGCGGTGAAGGAAATTATTTTTGCTTTTTTGAGATCGGCAGAGTTTCTATCTGCAAGAGGACTTGTACTTGCTTACCTGTTTCTTTCTAGTGTTTCGGTTCAGATTGGGTTGAGTGTGCTCTTGTGGCAGCAACTCTGCTACATATACGAGGGGAATACCTACTTGAGTCATTTAAGTTCACAAGGGGGTGATGGAGTTGGGAAAAGAGATTGCCAAAATCTCATTCGTTTTTTCGGTTGTCCGTATTCTGCATTGCGGTACTTGCCAAGGTTTCAAAATTCTAGGAAGAGGCACAAGAAATGAACCTTCCATCTCTCTCTCTCTCTCTCTGTTTGTTGTGTGTCATTTCAAATATACAATTTTTGAAGTTTTGACAGTTTGTGAGGTCCTGTGTTAATCTGTTCAATGATGTTTGTTATAGAATGTAAAGTTGTAAACTGATGGTAAAAGAAATGTGAAAGTTTTTTTGTTTTCATTATTATTTTTTGTCCTTCAATTGTGAAGATGATAAGGAAAGAATGCGAAATTATGGGTTTCAATGGTAGAGCTCTTTATTGTTTGAAATAATAATTGGAAAAGTACTTGGACATTGGGTTTGTGGACTACTTGATGGGCTATTGAACAAACAGTACCTCTACGAGCGACAAATTTGTTTAGCCTGAATGAGACTTTGACCGATAAGTTAGACGAATTTGGATTGAATAAATTTGATGGATGAATCATTAATCTTAAACCAATTATGATTTATGTTCACTCACTTGTTTTTGGGTTAATATCACCAATGACCCAAGAGTGAGTAATTTGCCTTAAATAGTAAGATTAATATACATCCATTTTCATTAATATTTCACTTTGACCTCTTTATTTTTAATTTTCAATAATAACATTTAATCTTTCGCAATTTAAGTTCAGTTGTGATGTTACTTTTCTTTTGATCTACTATTAATAGGTAGCAGAAATTATAAATAAAAGGATTGAAGTTAAATTTTAGCAAAGTTAATGAGTCTAACCAAAATTGTAAATAAAAGAATTAAAATGAAATTTTAGGAAAAATATAATTGTGTTAATAAGGGAATAGATTGAGTAGCTAATAGACGTAATAAGGGAAGGAAAATTAGAAGACAAGAAGGGGAGAGGACGGTAGAAGTACAACCTCTTAGCTTTCTTTGGCTGGTTAGGTTTTTTGACTTTTTAATTATTTTAATCACAAAATAATAAAATAGATTTTTTAGCTTATAATCATTTTTTTTTTCATAAAAATCAAAAAAAGTTAAAAAACCTATCACAAACAAGACTTTTTAATTTCAAGTTAAAATAATTAAAAAATTAATCCACATTCCAAACGAATCCTTAGTCATAAAAATGGATTCAAAATAAATTATCAGTGATAATTACAAAAATTATTACATATGTATGATAAAATTTATAAATTTAATTATTAATATTAATAAAATTTAGGAATATAACTTGCTTCTCTAACTTTTAATAATGGAAAAGGTTGTAATATTTTTTTTTTATTTTATAAATACCTCACCCACACCCGCATATCACATTCACTCTCTCATTCGCTCTCCTCTGTCTCTTCCTCTCCCCCGTCGTAGTGCTTGTTTGGCAGAGCTTAATTACAGATTATTTCAGCTTTCAGCTTAATTAAAGCTATTTTGATGTGTTTAGTTTAGCTTATAGCTTATAGCTTATAGCTTTTTGGAAGTCAGAAATCAGCTTATTCTTTGAGTGGGGCAGGAGATGCTTTAAGAATAAGCTGGAAATCAGCTTAAGCTGAAAGTTATAAGCTATAAGCTGTTGAGGCATAAGCTATAAGCACTTTCCCACAACTCTACTAAAGAGGGCTGTAGCCTCCTCCTCTGCCTCCTACGTCAACGCTTCCTTCGCCACCGTGACAGCCGCCGCCACCACCTCCGTTGTTTATTCTCACACCAAACCTCTCGCTCTCCTCCAATCGGAATTGGTGATGGTGGGTGGCGGTGGACGGATCCTCTAGTTGCTCAATCGCTATCGATCTCCGCCGTTTAGGAGTCTGTATTTCAATTTCTCTCTCATTTGGTCATTAATTTGTTTATGTGATTCATTTAATATATATATATATATACATGCTTGTTTGTTTGTATGTGTTGTGCAAAAGTATGGGTCGGTGTATATAATATTATTGTCTTCAATTGCATGAGTTATGATTCATAAATTGATTGTTGTGAATTTTATCTTCTAGATGCATAAATTGATTGTTGTTGTTACTGATTTGGGTGATTGATTTGGTGTGGATATATCATCATCACCATGATTGGTTCTGGCCAGTTTATCTTTGTTCAATTTCGTAATTCAATTTTTTTTTTAGTTTAGTCAAAACACAGAGAAAATTGTGAGCAAATCAAAGAAATTTCAATCCAAATAAATTTCAAAACATAAAAAATTTTAAAACACAGGAAAAATCAGAAAAATTTCAAACTAAAGAAATTTCAAAACACAGATAAATTCATCTGAAATTTTTTTGTGTTTTAAAATTTCTCTGGAAAAATACTGAGGAACCCCAACTACTATGAAAATATTGTATGTCCTTTATCATATAAAATCTTAATACCAATGACCTTAAAAAAAATCTCCTAAAATTTACTAGTAATTTATAATTATTTTTTAAATTTTACACTATTTTGAAAAAATAAAAAAGAGATGAGTTGGGTTAAAAGAAATTGATGATGACCATTCAATTTTTTAATGGTTAAATAAAGGTTACCGGTGTAACTGGTGGTTACTGTTCAACCTCCCTACTTCCCGGGGGGTGATTATTCAAAAAGGTTTTGTATTACCACTGCCAATCATCATCCTCATGACAAGGTCCTGAAAAAGACAACGATCAAGAAAAAAGTCATACTACAATTCAAATCCTTTGTAATACGACTCAAGGATAACAACTCAAGGATAACAGGTTAACAGAAAAATTGAGAACATGGAGAACAGAAGAGAGAGGTATGGTAGGAGTGACATGGACTAAACCTTCCCAAAAATAGAAGAAATAGTATCATCTGCAATCCTAACTTTGTCCTGGCTTGAAGAGGGCTTATAGGCAGAGAAAATGTCAAGAGGATCTAGACGTATGATCTAAGGCACCAGAATCAATTATCCAAGGCAAAGACTTATGAGAAAGGAAAACACGAGGAGAAGAGACTAAGTTATCTGAGCGGGCAAACGACGAGGAAGATGTATTGAGAGCAGTAGAAGACCGGCGGTCCAGCAAGTGACACAGAACATCCTCAAGCTCATGAGTAGTCATACCAGAGAGACCATCAGAAGCCTGGCCAACGGAAGCAGTAGTAGAATCAAGTGTATCAACGACACTAGACTGATGAGCCCGTGGATGAGAGCCACGTCCTCTAGACTGGCCTGACCGACCTCCTCCAGAACTAGATCGATCACCTCGACCCTCAGATGGAGTCCCATGAAGCTTTCAACATGTCTCACGAGTATGCCATGACTTGCGACAGTAATCACAGAACACAGACTCCTTGGCGGCAGACGGAGGGATAGGAGTCAGGCTGAGGCCATTTCTAGGGGTAGACAGTAATGCTGAGCGGTTAGTAGAAATAGGTGACATCACAGCAGACTGGCGACTCTCCTCATTCTGTACGTAAGCGAATGCCTCCTGAAGTGAAGGAAGAGTGTCCATACCCAGAACTCAACTCCGAACCGGATCATATTCCACATTGAGACATGCTAGAAACTTGAAGACCCTTTCCTATGCAATGAACTTCCTATACCCGACTGAATCAACAGTGCAAACAGACTTATAGTCCTGCCGGTGATCAAGGCGTTTCCAACCATTGGTGAGGAAGGTGAAGTACTGAAGAATAGTCTGCTCCCCCTAAACAGAGCTCTCAATAGAACGGTGTAACTCAAATGCCTATAAGAAATTCCCTTTGCGGGAATAGGTGGCAGCCACAACATCCTAAATAACTTAGGCGGTCTCCATAGACAAGTAGCCTTCACCAATTTCTGGTACCATCGAATAAATAAGCCAATCCATAATTAAAGAGTTTGTAATAACTTGGGTCATAACTCGGGTCAGTGGTGCTGGGTGCCTGTATCCTGCCATCAATATACCCCATCTTCCCTCTGCTGTTCAAAAAAATTGTCAAACTCTGCGACTACGCTAGATAGTTCTAACCATTAAATAGAGAAATGGTGATTTTAAGACTAGGGTTGGGGTTATCAGTCATAGTAGTAGGTATAATGGAACTCTTACTCCTAGATGTCTAAGAAGTAGTGGACACACTGGTGGAATCTGTTATAGATACTGTATTACCAAACTTTTAACACAACTAGTGCCAATCACAAATCCGAAGGTGGAGAAGGAAGAATAAGCACTATGACCACGGAAAAATATTGAAAAAAATTAAGAACTTTTTTTTTTTGGCAAGAAAACAGGACTGGTGAAATAACTTGGTTAATACATCAGCAAAATGACGACGGAAGTCAAAAACAGGGGCTGTCGGCTAGGTTTGTCGGATTATCTTGGGGAAGGCGGCAAGGCTGGGACAGCCAGCAGGAGTCAACGACTAGGCTAGGAGCCCTGTCGGCAAAGACCAACGAGGCTGGACATCCTGCGACAGTGGTCGATGGGGCTAGGGTTGCCTTCGGCAGGCTTCAGTAGCAAACGGGGCCAAAGCTAGAGAAAGGTGTTACACCTGTCAAAACTGGATGGGTAACTTTGTGGTGGTTGTGTGGTGGGGTAGGGATGGCAGTCGGGTGGCTATATAGATTTAGGTTTGTGGCTCTACCATGAAGATTTTAGAGAAGAGAAAGAGATTAGGGAATGATTGTGATATCATCCCGTTTCTATTTTTTTTATATTAATGAAGATTAATAATTACAAGGAAGCCCTAAGGCATATAATAATTACAATCGAATAATAACCCAACTAATAACATACCATTCTAACAAATATGTCAAAGATGTGAACATTTTTTTATTTTATTTTTTTAAAGAACGAAACAGCCATCCATATATTATACTCTTACGTAGTAGTAGTTACATTTTTGACCAGATTATGTACTTGCTGAATAACACTTTTGTCAACTTTACGAAGATATAAAGATGTGAACATTCATCATGTAATATAGTTCACAAACATTCCTAACAAATTAGTGGAACAAGAAGTGGAGTTAAAAAAATTCTTTCAGAGTTGATAATTAGGTCAACTAAAATTATGAGTAAAAGAATGGATATTTTGTTTAATGAGTATAAAATCAGTAATTTCAATAATTTGACTACATTGGAAAAAAAAAAAAAAGCATTGAAGTAGATGTAGTCAATATCATTTCCAAAATAAAACATAAATTTGATCTGTTAAATTTGATCTGTTTAAACGGATCAAATTTATGTTTTATTTTGAAAAATTGAGGGTGATGCCGGAGAAAAATCGATGGCTAGAGGAAAATCGAGGGTTGGTTTCAGGGTTAGGGTTTCAAAACCACCACCACCATTACATTCTGGTAAGCCCTCTTCCACTCACACTCTCTCTCTATCTCTCTCTCTCTCTGAATATCCTCAGTTTCTTGGTCATTCTCTTTCTCATCTCCTCTCTTTCTCTCTCTATGTTGGAATTTTGAACTTGATATATTAGAATGTGAATGTGTTGATTATTGCTAGAGTTTGAATTTTATTTTGTGTTCATCAGTACGCTTACATATGGATGTGAAAAACAAAAATTTCAAACAGAGCAATCAAATTAAGGAAGATTAGATTTTCTGGAGGAATAGAGAAGATCCAAAAGGAATTTCATCCATGGCATATTGAAGGTCTCTTCTAGGACATAATTAGCTCTACCCCTAGATTGGGTTTATCTAACCCCCTCCATCAAATTGAATTTTGATCTCATCTCAGATCTTCGCCTTGTATGACATTTGTTTAGTGGGTTTGCTGCTTTGTTCCTTGGATTTTTTTCCTTTTTTGTTTGCTTTGTATACATGATGTATATATATGTACAATGTTAATTACATTTGTTTACATTTGTAGTGCCTAACTATGAGATTTGTGTATTTTGATCCCCAATGTTTAAACTCTGTCAATTTAGTCCCGAATACATGAAAAGAGTTTCAATTTGGTCTATATATGTAATTTTAGATATTAAAACGAGACAGATCACATACTTTGCCGTTAAACCCCTAGGTCAGATCTCTCTCTTTGTATTTCTTAAAATCCAAAGATGATGATACCAGGTTTGAGTGCCCCCAATTTAACGATACCTACATTTTCTACATGTTTTGTCTAATTGTGTCTTCAATTTTTTTATTATTTGTTTTTTTCGCTTCTTTTTATAAAAAAAAGAAATACACTAATGTTAAATTTTCAATTAATGGATAAATTATTCAACTATTGCTGAAGATAATGTTTTAGAGCAGTGATTTAATTTTTTCTGTTTAATCATTTTCTCTGTATATATTCAGTGTTCTGCTTATATTTTTGAATAATCAAGTCCTTTGATTTTTGGATCTGCATAGGTTTTAAAAATATACCCAGCTGAAAAGTAGAGGGAGGGTAGTGTAGGAGCCTTCTGTGGTTGACAAAAGAAAAAGGTCCTAAGTTCGAGGTCAAAGGCTAAAATAAAACATCATACTCAATTCAGTTGGTTGTTCTGTATGTTTCACAGGAAAACAAAAAGAAAAAGATTAAGAAAATTGTGGCATGTTTGGGGGGGTGGGGTGGTTGTATTTGATTCTTTAATTCCTTTGACTCATGATGCTCGTCACCATTCCAACAATAATAATAAAGTCAAATAATGCTCTCCATGATAATAATTGATGAAATGCAAAATCAATTGGTATCTCTTGATGACTGCTGCACCCTACATGATTGCCCAATTTGCTTTATGATAGTGCACACTTCAAAGTTTTTTTTAGATAAATTAAGTTAGTAGAAGGGGTGCATTATACCTTTTGGTGCTGTTAGAGAAGATGATGTTGGTCAAGTAAGCTTGAAATTTAACACCCATTATCAGTTTCCTTGGGTGCTTCCTTTTGATACCTATTATCATCTTCCATTTTCCATTTTCCTCTGAATACAAGTTTACATGTGCCCTTTTAAAGCATGAATTTCCACGTTCCTAGTTAAATTTATCTTAGTCATTGTCCTTTGAGAATGAATTTATCTGTTATTCTAGAGGCATGGGAATGAGATCTAATAAATTTTGTTTAATTCTTAAAGAATTTTTTTTGATGGCATTTGTGACTGTTGTTTCTGTTTTTGTGCAAACTAACTGTTTGCAAAGCTTTGTGTTTGAAATTACATGATTTGATATGGTTCAATAGTTGTAGATTTGGTAAAGAAATTGGCTAGGTATTAGACATGCAAAGTTAATTAAGAGAGTGGCATTAATTGATGAAATTTTGAAAGTTGGCTATTTTAATATGTTTTTAAGTAGTATAGTTCAAATTAAGGCAATTTTTGGGAAATTCAATTTACTAAAATTTTTAAGATGTTTAATGTTGAACGGATTCATCATATCTGTTCTAGATCTGGTGTGCAACTCACTCCATTCAAAGCTCTCAAATCGAATTGAAAGTCTTTTAACCACTTGCAACTTCTGAATTGTTTTTATGTTTCTTGTCTTCCATTTATCATGGAATCTACTTTTACTTAATTTTTTCTCTGCTTTAGTAATTTTTGCTGATAAAAAAAGAGAAGAAGATGATACATAAGTTATATTAGCATAATAAATCTTCAAACATTCTTCGATTTCAACATTGAAAGTAGTATAATGTCCATTATGTCAATTTTTCGTAATAGTAGCTTCAAAGTTTATCTTAGCTTGCAAAGTTTTGTTCAATATTTGCACATTCACGAAAAATAACTATTATACAAGTTTTGCAAATTTTTATCAAATTCAAATTTGATGAATTCTCAATTTGATGAAAAAGTGCTTCTACCTTGATTTGATAAACATTTGATGAAATGAATGGAGATGGTTTTTGAGCACTTTTACACCTTGTCTGCTTTAGTTTTTCAAAACTGTTTTTATTTATTTATTATTGTTTATTAGTGCGTGTTTGTCTATTTTTGGTGGCCATAAAAATCTCGTTACTTACATTTCATCATGCCACAGGATAGGTACCATGTCAGGTCCACATAGCGAAATCAATGGAGCTAAAGGTGCATACAATGATCAAGCGCAACAAATGGACAGAGATAGTTGAACCCCCACTGAAAATATCACTCCTTTTTTGTGAACAGTATTGTACTTGATGGATGATTTAAAAATTGGTTTTGTGGGGACTAAATTTCAATGGTTTTCATGTGTGGACGAATGTAAATTTGCATGGCTTCTTTATGGTTGATGTAATATTTGGATTATGTAAATTTGATTTTGGTAATCCACCTATGTGTAGGTTGTAAATTTTTTGAATGTCAACAAATGCATATGGTATTTGGGTACTGAGGATATTTGTCAATGTTCGTTTTTTTTAATGTCAATCCATTTTGATCTTTGTTTTTGAGGACTACCATGTTGCTGATATACGTGCAAATGAATCCATGTTTGGTGAGTGCATGTTGTTCGATTATGAACATTTTTTTCTATGAAATTGTTGAGAAATGCCTAACAAATTCATCTTCATTCGATTGTGCAGTCAATTGGTGATCAAATTCATTGCAATTTTGTCCTAATCGATTGCACATTCCACCAGAGAATGTCTAAAGTTAATTGCATCTACTGCATTTCCATAGAAGAGGATAGGATATCATGGCCTTACGTTGCTTTTTGTTGAAAGGCCTTAAACATTGATATTGGTTACGAACTCATTGTAATTGTATCGTACCTGTGAGGGTTCTACTTTTTTTTACTGTGTGACTTAATTACCCGGCCTGTTGTCCCTGTCTAGTCAAGAAGAATATATTTATTATCATAGCATGGAAATGTGAGGCCATAAGGACTATGGACCCAATAAATTGGTAGAGGATTCTCTCCAGTTGGGTTTCTCAATTAGAGGGTGTTGTTGGGCCTCCGTAGGCCCACCATAGAGTTCTCATCGATGATTCAAACTGTTTAATAGGTAAGGCCCATTGAGTACTTTATCTTTACAAAAAATTATATTAATCGGATAACGATAAATATTTGATCAAATCATATTTGTGGCAACAATTTATTTAAAAAATTATATTTATTGTTGACATAAATATGATCTGATCAAGTAGCTATTGATATTTGATTAACGTGATTATTTGCAGGGATGAAGTACTTGATGAATTGTACACATTAAATTGTTCAGATTATCGATACGAGCTCCATGATGGACCCTGAGGCCCAACAATCTCCTCCGAGTCCAATTTGGATCGGAGAGAAGTCTATTCCCAATAAATTTATCACGACTAGTTATTGCAAAAGTAGAAATTGATCATTTTCCTTTAAAATGTGGGGGAAAATGATGATAAAACCAATTAACAAGATCACAGTGGAAAATGTACATCATTGGCATTACAATTAGCATGCTAGAAAAATAAAGTTGCTAAGGCTCAATTTGGTTAGATAATACAAAAAAAAAAATAAAATAAAAGAAAAAGAAAAAGAAATTGTGTTTGTTCAGATAAAGAGTCCTAAAAATAATTTTGTGTATTTATTTTTTTCCATTATTTTTTCACAAAATTTTTCATCTCTTCAAATGCATACAAGAAAATACATTCTTATTTCTTTTTTTCTTTCTTTCACTTTTCTTTCTACCATTTTTATTTTCTATCATTCGTTTCTTTCTAAACAAAAGGAAGGAATAGCATGAAAACAATAGAAAAAATCTAAATTCAACCAAAAACGAACAAGTTGGATCATTCCATTTCCAAACAAGAGAAGCAACAATAAAACAATTTTTTTTGAAAAAAAGAAAAAGAAAAAAAAGAAGCAATATCCAACAGTTGCAAGTTGCATTTCTACTATAAATAAATAGTTCCTTTATTCAACATTCATGTCCTTTGACAATTAAAAGCATTTTCCATACACGATGACAAAAGCTCATCAGACTTTGCCTTAATTAGCAGTCCTCGTATGGGGAAACTGGAAGCTCATTGTAGGTGTGATGTGAGCACTTCTCCATATCCTACACAAAATAACAATGAGCATTAGAATCGAATGATCATTTCATTGGCCACAACCAATTGATTAGTAATCGATTGGATGGGTTGGCCATATCTAATCAATTGGCCAATTGATTGCACATTTAAAATTTCACAAAAGAATTGATGGTTCAATCAATTGGAACAATTGGTTATTCGAATCGATTGTGCAATTAATTGGATGACTTAGCCACATCTAATCAATTGGCCAATCGATTAGCTTTGTCAATTGATTAGAAGCACTGACTATCACCAATCGATCGTACAATTGATTGGATAAATTGGTTGATAAACACTGTACCAATATTCACTTTTAGTGTGATAACCAATACGAACAAATTTAAAAAATAATACATAATCAACAAAGTTCAACAATGGAGGGAGAAATTCAACAATTTAATGCACACCTAGAAAAAAAAAATAGTAAGAAGAGATCAAAGGACCTCTCTCCTTTAACTCGTGGTTCTTTCACAATTCCACGTCGTTGTAGAGCAAGGATCCTCTAGAGTGATTTTTTCCTAAAGTTTCCTAGAGTGCTACATTGTGTGGTTGAGATTTACTGGCAAGTCATATCAATTTTTCTGATGTGACTTGCCAGTAAATCTCAACCATACAATGTAGCACTCTAGGAAACTTTAGGGAAATTTCACTCTAGAGGATCCTTGGTGGTCGTTGTAGCTCTCTCTTTTGCTAAATGAAAATGTCCCATACCCCATGTATTATTTGGATTATCATGAAATATCAATTTGCGCATCCCCTCCTTCCGGAACTTTTATACCCCTTAACTAAGGCTCTTTTTGTGCCATTGGAAATCTCACAAGTAACTTCTGGTATTGTATTGCGGCTATTGCCTCCGTGACTTTAATCAATTTTGTTTTTTTAAATTTTTTTTATACCATTTCAATTGTATTTCTAATAGGAGTAAAACTTATGTACAGTTTTACAGGATGCACAAGTCGCCGCTAACCACATTTAAAAAATAGAGTATTTTTTTTGACAATTATGATTTGTATAGTAATGAAGATTAATCTTTCTTGAATAATTTACCTAAAATCTTCATAACATAACTTCAAGTTACGTCTTGGATTTTAATGGCGACAACATGATCTTTTTCCATATGTCTCAAATTTTAAAAACCCATCTCTTTCATAGAAATGAGAGTGCTTGTGCATAATAAGCAAATATAAAAACCATTTCAATTTCATAAACTCCATTTGAATCATAGAAACACATTTCAAAAATGGAGAGAAGAATAGCAGTGTCGTTACCAATAGAAACTGTCATGAAAATTTATGTAATTTTGTGTTTCTCAAAATTTTTATAAGATAACTAACGAAAAATTTGTATTAACTTATCCATTTTTGTGAAATCACTTACGCAAGTTTTCAGTTTGTGAAAACTTATGTGATTTTATATTGTTTAAAACTTTTATGAGCTGACTTATGCAAATTTGTGTTGGTTGTGCGTTTTTGTGAGATCATACATGATTTCGTGCAAACTTACGGGATTTGGTATTCTTCAAAATTTGTATGAGATTACTTATGGGAAATTTGTGTTAACACTTTATTTTGTGTTGTTCAAAACTTTTATGAGATGACTTATTCAAATTTGTTTTGCTTACGCATTTTTGTGAGATTTATTACGTGATTTCGTGAAAAATTATGTGATTTTGTGTTGTTCAAAATTTTGATCAAATTTTTTATGAGATAACTTGTGACGCCCCAAAATTTTGGGAACATCAAAGAATACATTAACAAATAATTACAAGATTTTTCTAAGGTTATAAGCGTAGGAAATGTCACTAATGAGTCATTTGGTCAATAATCAAGTAAGATCCCAATAAGGTTGGAGGAGTCAACATAACCTCTCTTCTAAGTTCAACCACCTTCGATAGCAAAGCTACCTTTTTGACAGATCTTAACAAGGTATTAACATAAGGTCTACATGAGTTGGCAGAATATAAGGATAGGTTACAAATGATTCCGATCTCCACTAAAATCTGCTTTGCACCTAAAAAATAAATTAATTCAGTAAATATAAAATACGTCAGGAATACAAGGCCCAGATACAGAATAAATTAACAGGGATCCAACAATTTATAACATTACACCAACTATACAGTAATCAAGCAATTTACTAAATTGCACAACAATTCAACCCAACATATGATAATTTATCCAAGGCCAAATATCCGGTCCTATTCAGTACATGACTAGTGGCCGGCCTCACCCCCTCATCCAAGCACAACCGCTTATCCGGACTATTGGTACATAGCATATTGATAGGGTCCACTTGATCCATGTACAAAGCATTTTCACGTCATTCAGTCAGACAAATCACCATTTTAACACATAACAACTTCACAGAATTTTACCAAATGACTAGAATAATCAACGAATCAACAACAAATAACTTCACAGAATTTATCAATGATCACAATAATGAAGAGGATTACAAATTGGGGATAATTTAAATAGAAAACTCCTTGCAAAGAGATTTAGATGGAGCATATTGTATATCACCCGAATTTATCTCAAAATAATTCATCCGTCACCATAAATCTGAATTTGCTCCACGAATCTCCAAAAATAACTCTTACACTAAACAGTCTCACATTTAAACTCAATATTATAATATAAATGGAGAAGGAGAACCGAATTCCAAGGGGGAGAAACGGCAGAAGAGGAAGATAGAGAAGTGAGGATTTCACCCCCACAATTGGTGGAAATATATAGAAGAGAAAAAAGGAATAATGAAGACAAAGGATGGAGTTTAAAAGGAGAAGGAAAAATATATATATATATATATATATATAGAGAGAGAGAGTCAAGAGATGGTTGGTGTTTTTAAAAAAAAATGTGATATTTTGAGGTTAAAAAAAAAAAGAGAAAAAAATTATTTTTATATGAGAGTGCGTAGTGGAAGCGTGTTATTTAAAGATTTAGTCATCATCAAATTTTGGGAGTATTAAGAATTGGAATTTCAAGGATAAATTATATCATGTACTGAGTAATACTGGGTATTTGGTCTTGGATATATTATCATGTGTCGAGTTGAATTGTTGTGCAATTTGGTAAATTGCTTGATTACCGTATCGTTGGTATAATGTTATTAATTGTCGGATCCCTATTAATATATTCTGTATCTGAGCCTTGTATTCCTGTCATATTGTAAACTTTCAAAATTAATTTATTTTTTAGGTGCGGAGCAAATTTTAGTGGACATCAGAATTGAAATTATAAAGGATTATTTGATATAGAGATTTTGGGCTCCATCACCATCATTAATTTTGGAGACAATTGTATATATTATAATTTGGAGATTTTTATGTAATTATTATT